AAAAAAAAAAAAAAAAAAAAAAAAAAAAAAAAAAAAAAAAAAAAAAAAAAAAAAAAAAAAAAAAAAACGTCTCCAAAACACAATCCCACACGACGATTCCCACAGGAGACCACCGCCCCCCTACGCACAGGACGAGGAACAACAGACTACCATCATGCGGCAAGAGAGGGAAAAAAATTATCACACAACACCACATGTTCGACGAACAACGGGAATCAACAGAGCAGGATGTCGTCAAACAGACCTGCCCCGTGTTTATTGGGCAGAGAAGGAGAAAACGATACCAAAAGAGTGGCTTTGATGAACTGTCTCGTCGGAGTATCACTGACAACAAACTCCCGAAACAAGCAGTCTGTCACAGCCCGCCCTCTGTTGTCGACTTCTCCCTCTATGGGCATCGCTGCACTACTCTCGACATGCACAACAGACAAAAATCATGGCGCTGTATGTTTCCATATTCTAGCGGAAGATTCACTCTCGTTTTGCACGTTTGGACAGTAGTGCAGCGAGGCCATTTGCCTGCGATTTTTTTTTATATTTTTTTTTATTTTTTTTAAACGAACGGGCCCAGTGCCCAAGGCATATAATTATTCAATAGAACAGAGGCCGGGGTCCTCACAGTCTACCCGGAGATGGAACCTTCTGGGAGCGTTACCCAGTTTCGCTTTCAGGGAGGAGCCCTGCAGGGGAGCAAGCCCTGGAAACCAAAGAACGCAGAAACCAAAAAGGACTGTATTTCCCCGTTTTCTAGGGGATTTTTTCTTTTTCGTTTCCTAATTTTCCCCCATCTTCGGCATAGCCAAAGGATAAGCCGATTCTAGGGGATTTGTTTTCCCCGTTTTCTATCAGGGCTTTTTCGTCTCTCCTTGTCATCAGTCGCCATCGATCGTTTTGGGGCGAAGAAGATGTACGTTCAGCGTGGCTAGTAGCTGAACAAGGTGTTCTCTGATTCAGCGGTGTTTCAGCKGTGATAACATSGTGAGCTCGCGAACAAGCGGCCAAGGAATGTTTCGCGTCCTTCAGTCAGCGGTAWTTTTTTTTGTTTTAATTTTCATGGTATTCTCRRTAGGYATATTTTCAATTTTCAATAGCCCTTTCTATGACCCCGTGCATGACTAGAGCTAGGAAGAATTTTTATTTTTTTTCCTATATGCTTTAGGTTTGGGAATCTCTTTGAGTTTATTGACCAGGGAAGGGAACACGGCGGGAGGATACGTGAYGGCCTCTGCCAGCGCCCCCCCCCAGGTTACTACCCCCTTGCCTATGACGGAAGAAGAAAGACTAAAGGTAAAAGACCTGATCCAGGAGTGTTATGCAGAAGGCATCTTACCAGAGGATTTTGCTCCAACGGTAGTGGATTCGGGTCCGGATTTTGTCAAAGTCGTCGTCAACGAAGAACTGTTGAAAATTCAAGCAGACTGGCTGCATAACCATGCAGTATCAATCCACTTTGGGGACGACGCTACCTCCCTCCCGGTGTCAGTCAAGAACAAATTGGTGAGAATCTACGAGGATGGGTGGGCGAAATCCAGAGCTCTTCTGGTTGCTCCGAAGAGAGGAATATTCAGAAATGAGGGGAGAAATCTGGTTACTTATGTAGCCATTGCCAAAGAGATTTCAGATTGGATGCTCCGAAAGAGGCAGGATATAATTGAGTTCGACAATAAAATTTATTCGGTGAAATTCAGACCCTGGATGACGGATAACGAATTGTTTGAGTGGAACGAAGCCCTGAAGTTTCAGTACTTCTGGGTCAAGGTCCTCCAGGTCCCAGTCTCGGTCCTTCCGCATATAAAAGGTGCAGTAAAGGAAGCCTTTGGGGAGGTGCTGCGTACCTCCCCAGCCTTCTCAGATCCCATCTCCCCAGACCTTTGGTCCATCAGATTTGATCTGATTCCGTCAACTCGTACCACATATAAAAGATATTTAGTGGTAGACCTGCGACAACAGGGTTATGTGGATTTGGAAGTGGCATGTGCAGATTCGGTGTGGTGCAAAAAGTGCAAACGTTATTTCCATGACGAACTGGACCCAGAGTGTCCTATCAACGTCCGAAATGGCTCTCGAAAAACCGTTTATCGCGACGCAGTGTTGAAGGGCAWAAACCAGAAAGGAGACAAACAGAAAAATGGGAAGGAAGATGAGCGAGAYAGAGAGAAAGAGGAGGAGAAAGAAAAGATGGATGAGAAAGAGGAAGGAGGGAAGGAAGTCAGCAAGGACAGAGAAGGGAATAAGGGTGAGAAGGGGGATGAGGTAAACTCTGTCAGGAAGGAAAAGAGACCCACTCTAGCAGGCAATCAAGGGAAGGTAAAAGTAGGAAAGGGCTCCAGATCTGGCTCCAGATCTGGCCATCGGCAGAAGTGGAAAAAGAAAGCAAACCCCAGAAAGGAGTCTCTAACTGAGTTGGACAAGTCAGAAAAGCTAAAGCCCCCCCCCGCCCCCTCCCCCCACCCTCCCCCTCCAAAGGGGAAGGATCTTCAACAGAAGGATGATGTGATGAAGGAGCGGGTGGGAGAAGAGGAAGGGGAGGACCAGGCTCGGGAAAAGGATAACCCGGATGCAGTAAAACCTTTTGAGAAACCGATCGGGGACATTGAGAAACTAACTGGTTCAGCAGATTTGGGTTTTGCCTTTACAGATGGAGGTCTACAGTCCTTGGTAAAAGACCCAGCCCAAGAAAAGGAGGTTGACCACCAACCTAAAGAACTGACAGAACTGACTGAGAAGGCAGAAAAAACCTCTGGGATGGAAGGAGTTATACAAGGGGGGCGAGTGAGAGAAGAGGAAGGGGAGGACCAGGCTCGGAAAAAGAATATCCCCAATGCAGTAAAACCTTTTGTGGAACTGATCAAGGACATTGAGAAACTGACTGGTTCAGCAGATTTGGGCTTTGCCCCTACTGATGGAGGTCTACAGTCCTTGGTAAAAGATTCAGCTCAAGAAAAGGGGGTAGACCACCAACCTAATGAACTGACCGAGAAGGCAGAAGAAGCTTCTGGGATGGAAGGAGTTATACAAGGGGGGAGAAAGTCCAAAGCCAAAGAACCCCTGGCGAAAGTTCAGAAGGGGAATAAGAAAGCCCAAATGGGCAGAGGGAAGCGGCCCATGAGTAAAGAGGACAGACTCAAACCCAAACCAGGGGCACAAGAGGAAGACTTACCCAGCAAGAAAAGGAGGACAAATGACAACGAGGTGGTGTTTCGGAAGACCTACCTGGGAAATGAAGATTTCGTGGGCACGGATGCCGGGCCTACAAAGCACGGTAAGAGATCCTGGGACACAATACCTTCGTGGCAGAGTCTCAGTTTCGCTGCTCCAATGAAAACTCTGAAAAGAAAAGACAAAAGTAATAAAAAGGTGGTGGAAATTCTGATTCCACTAATCTGCACAACAACACAGCAAGGGACAACAATATTCACAACAAGAGCAAATGACAATGTACTTGAACTCCCCACTGTGCCTATACAGGCACAACTATCAGATTTGCAGATAGTAGAATTTGCCCAATCCATAACTTTGCAAGGATTGGGCAAAGTCCACATACTGCAGGATCCAAAGCTAGGGAGACATATAGTGCAGACCTCAGATGAGGAAAAAGTCATTTTGCACTTGGCCTTTTTGGCCCTGGTCTCCCTGGAAGGGTCATGTGAGCAATGGACAGCATTGAATGCCCATTGGTTTTCACTGTCGTCGTTGACTACAGTAAATGCTGAATCTTTATCTGACGTTCGGGTGGGGACCTCCCTATCCGCCAAGCATGTTGCTGAATGGATATCCTTGGTGGACGCACAAGATTTCTTGAGCTCTGATAAATTTACCTACCTACTCCTAGCCTTGGGTCAACGGACTGGGACCCCGTGTACGCCACAGGAAGAGGAAACCCGTATCCAATACGATGACGGCGAGGACCTGAATAATGGTCTTGCCCAATCGGATTAGATTAGTAAACTGGAATATAAGAGGTTTAGGTGATACTTCTGGTAGATTCAAAAAGGAAAGACTAGCAGCCTGGCTGTATTCAAAAGAGGCACATATAGTGTGTCTCCAAGAAACGAAACTCAATGTTGACAAGATAAAGGAGGTGGCCCAGTGGTGGAAGGGCCCTCAGATATGGTCCCCGGCCGACGGTATGAAGGGAGGGGTGGCCATCTTGATTGACAAGGATCTACAGGTTGACGTAATTGACTCCTTCTCAGACCCAATGGGGAGGTGTGTGTGGATTAAACTAGCTGTAGAAGAGGAGGACTGGGCGATAATGACGATCTATGCCCCGGTAGACTATAAGGAAAGAACGAGATTCTTAGCCCATCTCCCAGCTTGGATACCTGATGTGGAAAATCTCGTGATTGCGGGGGACTGGAATACGGTTTTTAACCCGGGTTTAGATTCTCTTAAAATTTTCCCACTGCGTGAAGAYTCTTTAAYGCTAATAGCTTTGSCAGAGRCTCAAAACCTTACTGATGTCTTTAGGGTTTTAAACCCCGAGGACAATGGTTTTACTTGGTACGACCCTCCTCCTACTCCCATCTCTCCCCAACCCCGAAAAAGACTGGATTTTTTCTTGGCAAGGGGGGTGATATGGGATAGGTGTATGGAATGTGAGCTGTCGGAGGAAACCCTCTCTGACCACTATTCAATTTATATGGATATTGTGGCCAGAGAACATTTTGAGAAAGTCCGCCCCCCTTTCCGCCTCAATATTAATGTGCTAAAGGATAAGGGGATACCGGAATGGGTGAAGACCCAAATGGTAGCTTGGATGGAGGCCAAGGACCTTTTCCCACAAGAAAGTAGGTGGGCAGAGGTGGGACTGGGAATTATTTCTGCAGCCCTGAACACTTTTTCCAGGATTAAAGCGGCAAACAGAAATTGGAAGGAAAATTGTGCCAAGAGAGCGGTGAAAGAGGCTGAACAGAAAATGGGGAAGGACTCATTCTCAGATTTCTACTGGTCTAAACATAGGAGGGTCAACCTAGCCTTGCTGGAGGAATTGGAACTCAGAAAACAGGAGGAGTGGTTGAATTGGCTCAAAATGCGTGGTTTGGTTGGGTATGACCGAATGACAAAGATAACTTTCAGATCCCTAATGTTGAGTAAAGTCAAACCGGTGATGAGGGAACTGTGTCATCCGCTGGATCCCACACTCCCAGTATCGTTAGACACGGATGGTATGTGTAATTATGCTCTTTGTTATTATAAAGACATAGTTACAACGAGAAGGCCGAATGATAACTGTGAAACTGACCTCTCTATGGTGTCTGTTTTTTGGGACAACCTAAGGATTACTTTGCCACTCTCGAGCTCCCTTATTTTGGATGCTCCTTTCACCCCACAAGAGCTGTACCAGGCCGTCAAGCAGATGGCCAAAGGGAAGTGTCCCGGCCTGGATGGTCTCCCAGTTGAGTTATTTCTCTTAGCATAGGATTCTTTCAGTCCTTTTTTCTGTCAAATTTTTAATAAAGTATTGGATACTGGTTCTCTCCCTCAGAATTGGTTAGTAGGGGTGATCTCCCTGCTATATAAAAAGGGCAATAAAAGAGAAGTCAAAAATTATAGGCCCATTTCAGTTTTGAATGTGGCCTATAAGATATTGGCCAAAGCATTAGCAATCAGACTATCCAGTTTTTTACCGAACCTGATAGGTTGGGAACAAGGGGCCTTTGTAAAGGGGCGATCAATTTTTGACAACATCATGGCTACCATCCAAACCCTGGAGATTCTGGGAAGAGAGAAAAGGAATGTGGCGTTACTGYYAWTGGACATGGAAAAGGCCTACGATGAAGTAGGCTGGGCCTTTGTGTTTACAACGTTGTCCAAAATGGGTTTCGGTCAAGGTTTTTGCAAGTGGGTCAAAGCGATGTATGCTGATGCGACATCGAAAGTACTGGTCAATGGRCGTCTGTCAGACTCCTTTCCCTTGTCACGTTCGCTGAGACAAGGATGCCCCCTAGCACCACTGCTCTTTGTGGTTCAACTGGAAATACTGTTAGGTAATATCCGATGCAATGACCAAATCGTGGGGTTGTGCCTCCCTCCCAATATTCAGTGGAAGGGGGGAGYTATAGCAGACGATTTAACTATTGCTTGCACAAATGAAACAGCGGCTCTCAGTGAGCTAAAAGGGGTGCTGGAAGAGTACTGTGTACTCTCAGAGGCGTCAATAAATTGGGAAAAATCAGTTTATCTTCTACCCCCCATGTACACTTTGTGTGTGGATTGGGGTCWAAGACCCATTCCGGCCAATACCTMTGACCGTTTTTTGGGTGTCCAGGTTTCCCTTACTGACTGTTCAAAAGCAYAGGATGGGATTCTAAAGRATAAAGTCACGRCAAGGATTATGGGTTGGGTGAGAAAGTTTCAGTTATCTATTTTTGGTAGGGYCTTGGTGYTCTCGACAGCAGCCTTCTCCGTGCTATGGTTCCCCCTATCTGTTCATTATTTGGGGGAAAGTGCGTATAAGGCTATTAGGAAGGTGGGGGCCAAGTATGTGTGGAAGCCGTGTGCTACGGAGGATCAGGGCTACATAGTAAAGGTGGCTTGGGAAACAGTGGCCTGCCCGAGAGACCAGGGAGGCTTGGGAATCCTTGACCCCCTACAACAGAACGTATCTTTGCTGGCTAAATGGCCAATCCAAGCCATGTTCGGACCAAAAGATAAATTGTGGGTCCTGCTGGATGAATATATTCTGCAGAAGGAATGGGACCTCCAAGAAGGGACGCATGTTTGGGTGTGTCTGCAAATGGACTCCTACTGTCAAAGAAGACCCAACTCACGTCTGTGGAAGAGCATCCTTACAGCATGGAAAAACGTGAAACCCCAAATGGGGAAGGAGCCGGTATCGAAATTGGAAATCTTGAATCAAATTTTGTTTGAAAACAAGTACATAACTTCCCAAGGAGAGGGTGTTTTCCTAGCTGAAGGTAGCCCGGGCTCTTTTGGGAGGTCATGGGTGGAGAAGGGGGTGATCCAAATTAAAGATATTTGGGATGTAGAGATGGGCTGTTGGCTCCCATTACATCTACTTAAGAGAAAGCTCTACCGCCTGAGACGCGTGGAGGAAAACTTCACCAAAGTTAAATCCGCAATTCCCCACCACTGGATAGCAGCATTAAGGCGTGACAGGGAGTTTAACTCAGGAGCTTGGCTGCAAGATTCGGATGACAGTCAGGGGATCTGGAAAGTAATAGGGCCGGAGTTAAACGCTGGAATAAGAGTCCAAGCATGGAGAAAGGATAATGCTGATGGGCTAACACTAACCTACAAAGGAGATGAAACAGTGACGACAACTGTAGATGCTCAAGAAGTCCGGGTGTGGGAAAGGATGGAGCAGAACAGGAAGAAAGTCAGCTTGCTTCATCTGCTACCCACGGTTGGACAAATAGAGCCCCTGTTGGCAGKGTGGTCTCCTTCTGAGAGTCAGAAGATGACTGTGCCTCTCTAAAAATACAACACAAAAGTAGGGACCGCAGTGCAGAGAGCGAAGGTTGAGAAGAAACCCATAATCATAGCAAGAAAAAGGCTACAACATCTGGGTTTGACAACCATTCAGGAGGCTGATATGTTCAAGCTATGGAAKGCTYTACAAAAGATTCCATCACRGAARCAGGYTGCGCTGGTGTGGTTACAGTCGTTACAGGTGACTGCAACGGCCACCTGGTGCATTTCGAAGGGAATGGTTTTATCCTCAACATGTGTGAGATGTAGTTGGGGATGGGAAAACAGTACCCATTTGTGGCTATGTTGTCCTCTCTCTGACACGGTCTGGGAAYGGTGGAAAGAGAAATGGAAAGAACTAGAAGGGCCAGAGGTATGGACGGACATCTTCATTTTGCATGGACAAACGCAGCTGAGTAACAACTTCTCCTCCGGTTATTGGTACATGGCCCTGATCTGTAGAGGCATTGYGTTGGAAGCCCTGTGGGAAATGCGGAATGCGAAGGTATTTAGGGGTGAATCCCTAGCTTACCAACAGGTATTTAATCGTATTAAACAGAATATTAGATTAGTAATTAGAGTGGATTGGCGTAGGAAGAATTTGYTGTGGTTCAYTAGGACGTGGRCTAAAAAYAGCTATTTTGCGAAGGTTTYCGCTGAARGMCACTTGATGTTGGCTGACTGGCTCTAAGAGCTCACAGTTGGAAGACTGGACTGTCTACCGTAGGCCATGGCCGTTTTTAGGCCAGGGGTCAGAACTGGTCTCCAGACTGTAAGCGAGACTGGTGCTCTGTTGGTATGGCGGAGGAAAAGGTAACAGAACAGCCGGTGCTTGCAAAATACAAAGCAATCGGCACTATAGACAGGGTGAATCCCAGGGATTTTCTGATAGCGACGCCATCTTGAGCACTATGAGCCTATGAGGGTATCAAGAGGCGGTGGGAACGCTATTGGTTAGATGCTATGAGAGAACCGGTGAGGAACAAACTTGAGTTCGGCGTTAGAAACATGCCGGCGTTGCACTTTTTCTTCTGCGCGGCAAGGTTATCATGCTATAGGCTAAAGGACTGGAGAGGTTATTATTGTTTAGTTCAGCCGCCTTTTTTCTGTGCTTCAAGGTTAGTTTGAGGAGTTTTGTCCTATTGAGTCTGGGCGGTCGTGGGACGCTGGACCCGGTTTCCAGCAGGCTTCATCTCGTTAACACCGGGTAGAATTGTGAGGTCCCCGACCTCGACCACTTTTGTTTTGAAATATAAAGTGACAACTTCTCAAAAAAAAAAAAAAAAAAAAAAAAAAAAGGACTGTATCCTTCTACTCCATGACTCAGACAAAATGCCTGAATCTTATGCATAAGACCTCTCAGCTCTTGGGCTGTCTGAAATCGTGATCTGCTAGCCCGAACGCTAGGACTCAAATCTGAATTATGAATCTATGAGGCTGTCTTCCGGGTTTCGGCTACTCAAAACCGACTGCATCTTTGCTGGAAACCGGGTCCAGCGTCCTAATATCTACACTTATCATGCCAATG